ACCTGAAAGTAAAATGCTTAGCCCTGTCTTATAATTGTCCAGGGTCCTCTCTTGTCTCCTAGAGAACAGGAATTTTATGGGATTCCTTTTTGCATCTCTAGTATACCTGTTTGCAACACATATTAAATCAATGCATTTGATGGGATATTTACATAGATTCCCTACTGGAATTTACTGTTAGGAGCCTCATATGAACTTAACGTGTATATACATTTGTTAGGAACTGTTACAAATACATTAAAATAAGTAGATCAGTGATTTCTCAAATCTTTATAGTCTTCTGAATCACACAATAAACTTTCTCCAACCCCCGACTCCTGTTCTCCAACCACAGATATTGTTTCTGTAAGTCAGAGGTGGAAGCCAGGGACCAATAGTTTTCAAAAATCTACTCAGGTAGTTTTGATATACAGCCAAGTTATAGAAAGTACGTTTAGTAACTGAAGTATTTGGCTGGTGCTGCTCAATGGTACAGCAGTTGTCAATCATGCATAAGGCTCTGGGTTCTACCTCTACCACTGCAGTCAATTTAATGGCTAAAGCCTGTAACCTTAGCTACTCAGGAGGATGACATTTGAGGATTTTGGGTTGAAGCCAGCCCAGGAAGGAAAGCCTGTGAGACACTCTTAGCTCCAATTAACCACCTAAAAACCAGGAGTGGAGCTGTGGCTCAAGTGGCAGAGTGAGAGCGCCCAGAGTTAAAATGTTCAGGAACAGTGCCCAGGCCCCGGGTTCAAGCCCCCCAAGACAGACACACACACACAAAGAAATAAAATAAGAAAGTATGTGACAATATAGCATATAGTCAAGAACTAGTTTTGCTTGGAGATTGGGTTCCAATTCCACTGTAGTCCCCTCCTGGATGTTATCTTCAGACAAATTATTGAATGTTTCAAAGCTTCCATTTCTTAAAAAATTTTTATTTTATTTTTAATATATATATTATTGTAAAGATACTGTACAGAGAGGTTACAGTTACATGAGTAAGGTAATGAGTACATTTCCAGTTGAGCATTGTTACCCCCTCCTTTGTTTTTCCCCTACCATCCCTTCCCTGGGCACCTCCCCAACTCCTCCCCCCCTCCCCAAGTTGTAAAGTTCATTTTCAACATAGTATCTTGTACATCATTGTTACAATAGGTCAACCTGTATCCTTGTTTCAGAATTTTATTTCCCTTCCCCTCTCCAAATTAGATAAATGTATATACAAGATGCAGGGCACCGACATCAAATACAGTGACAACAGGGGTTATGGGGGGGGGAGAACATACAAAAGAAACAAAAAACTGAAACAACAGTAAGAAAGATAAAACCTTTTGTGACCCTATCTTGGGGTTCATTTTGCTTAGCATCATCTTATATGGTCATATGTACATAGTTTTTTTACCCTTTCTGCTTGTCCTAGACATATACTAGTTATTGCAAATAAGGGAAACCATGGGACCTGTGTTTCTTTGGGCCTGGCTTACTATACTTAATATAATTTTTTCCAAGTCTTTCCATTTCCTAACAAATGGAGCAATGTCATTCTTTCTGATGAGGCATAGAATTCCATTGTGTATATATACCACATTTTCTTGATCCATTCATCTAGTGAGGGGCATCTGGGTTGGTTCCATATCTTAGCTATGGTAAATAACGCTGCAATAAACATAGTTGTGCTGGAAGCTTTAGTATGGTCTTGTTTGTAAACATTTGGGTAAATGCCCAAAAGTGGGATTGCTGGGTCATAGGGGAGTTCTATGTGAAGTCTTTTGAGGAACCTCCATAC